CCCTGTGCCCCTTGTCCTGTCGCTGGGCACCACTGAGAAGAGTCTGGCCCCATCCTCCTGACCCCCACCCTGCAGATATTTGTAAGTGATGCCAGGGATGCTGTGGTGGTGGACCCCAGCGAGGACGTGCCCCCCGGGGGATGCCTTGGCCGGAGGGTTGGTGGCACGGGGAGACGTTTTCTGGAGGGCACCGTAAACATTTCCTGGAAAACCTTCCTGCGGTGGGTGCTGCTGGCACAGCTCTTGGTCTCCTGCCGGGGAAGCAGGTGCCGGGCTAGCAGCACTCACCGGCTCACTTTTCTGGCTGTCATCGGGGTGGCTGTCCCCTGCCCTCCTCCTCCTCCTCCTTCTCCTCCTCGGTGCGCATAGCTGGTCCCACCATGGCCACCAACCTCTTTGTGTGATTTGTCCCCTTTCCCAAAATGGTTTCCAGCCCTTCTCCGGGCAGTGACACCTGGATTCGGGCCGCGGATGCTGGTGGAGCATCGCCAAGGTGGTGGCCACCGGCTGATGGGGTGCGTCATGGTGGACACCACCCTCGCCGTGGGGTGATGTCCTTGCGAGGGCTCCCCAAGCTATGCACCAGCATCTCATCGTCAACCAAGTGGGGAAACTGAGGCAGCACCCACGCGAGCACGCAGGCACCCAGGTCCCACTCGAAGGGTTAAAGGGCCAGACGAGCTGCCCGCTCTAAAAGCGAAAGGTGACGCCATCCCACCGCCATCCCGCGGCCACCAACCTGGTTATGTCACTCGACCGCCTGCAAGTAAACTTAGATGACCGGTTAGGCGCGGTGGGGAGGGCTGGGGACATGCCACCGGGGCCCGGCCGCGCTCCCCCGGCCGTGTCACTGTACCCGGCCACCCCGCTAAAAATACCCGAAGGGGGGTGTCACGGGCGAGCGACGGCCCCGTTGGAGCTTGGCCTGTTCCTAATCCCCTCGTGGCTCCTGTCCCATAGTGGGTGGCAGCTGCTGATGGGGGCCTGGTGCCCCCAAGGTGCGAGCAGCTCCAGGGAGGACCCACATCCCACGCACCCCCCCCTTTTCCCGGTGCGGGACCCCAACATCCCACTGCACAGGGACCCCGATACTGCATTCAGGGGTCACACAATTAAGCAAATGAGTTAAAAACACCCCATGAGAAGAACTCTTGGTTGCAAAACCATCAAGACGCCCGTTTTGTCCCCTTCTTTGCCTCCCACCCTACAAGACGGAGGGGGTGCAGTTGTCCCCTTTCCAAATTTGGGGTCTCCAATAAGGGGTATTGGTGTCCCAGGTTAACCAAGGTGGGGTAAATTCCAGCATCACCGGGGTCCCAGGGGACACATCCGGAGCTTTGCCTGCATCCATGATCCTC